GTCATGGAAAATTTGCCAGACAGAAACAAAGGCCCTTCTTCCACTTCCGCCTTCTGACATAAACAGCTGTACATGTGATAAATTATCAGAATGAATAAAAATCTTCCTTTCCTTCTGTTTTCTTTAAATTGAGATCAGAGTGCTCAGATGAACACAGCCTCTCTCCCTATCTGAGAAACAGAGTGAAAATGGCTTCTGACGACCTTCTACATTATTTGGGTAGCTCAGCTAATTAGGGACACAGCAGAACTCCCTTGTGACTTGCCCTACCATGATCTTTCCCAACTAACACAGTTCAACCTCTGAATGCACCAGCAAAAAGCAGCTTCAGGATGTTCCTTGCAATCAAGAGAAGAAATAAGTTTTCCTCTGCTTGGATGAAAAATGGAGTGGCTGGAGGGTAATAAAAGTATTTCAGCAGTACATTTCTGAATGTGGAGTGAAACCGAGTCAGAGTTTGAAGATGAAATACAAAGAGATGTATGGCTTACTCCTTATCACTTATTAAGGTCCAAAGCTTTCCCCATTAGCAAAACTGAATAATTTTCTATACTTCCTGCCTTAAACTCTGGAATAGCATTGATGTGCACAGCTATGCGTTTGCTGCACTCCAGTCCAGGGGAACTTGCATTTCCCTGGCTGGTGAACAGGCCATCCCTACAGCTACTGGAATGTTTGGGAACACAGTAAGTGCTCTGGAAATACTTTAAAATATCAGAGTCAAGCAAATGACAAATAACAGTTTATTAGTTTTATTTGGTATTATTAACCTCTGTACTATTAGTATTAGTGATATCATTGACAATGTGGTTTGGAAATGGGAGGGAATTTACTTATGAATATCCTGTAGAGTAAATAATCTGCAGACTGTTGATGCAACTATGAAGATCAGTGAAGATATTTTCAGTGTCATGCAACACTTCCAAGCAAGGTGATACAGAAACATTCCCTAAATGCTAGACTGGTGACTTGTCTAACAATATACCTTATAATGATTAACTGCTTCTCAGACCTCTAAGAAAACTGGACTGAAAATGCTGGTGACCTTGCACCACCACCTAAGGCAAGATGACAAATCTTGCTCTGCTCCTGAAACTGATCGTTGCTGATGAGGACAACAATGCTAAAGTGGAGCAGCGATGGATGTTTTTATTATCTGATGCAGCCCAGAGGATTAAAATAGCTCACTTGACATGGCCTCTGACTCCTCAGCAACTGCAGTAGAACTGGGTGAGGTTGATGGTAAAACCCTTGAAAAGTTGTAAGAATTTATCTGCCAGTTGCGTGAGCAAACTGGATTTCTTCTTCCTCAGGACTCAACAATAAGAAGGAAATTCCCTGCATAGGTCTGACTAAGAAGCAAATAAAATTTGCAGCCACTTAAAAGCATCTGGGCATGTGTCATGCTTACAAGTCCTTCTTTTGAAGTTCAGAGGGACCTAGCAAATACTATGATGCTCTGAATGTCAGAGTGGCCTATGAGGCTGGAGGGACAGATCTGAGAACAAATTAGAGCAATTAAATGTGTTTAGCTTGGATAAACAACAGCTAATGGGCTGGGAATGTGTACAACTGGCAAGTCTGGAGAAGGCTGTAAACATCAGCAAAGACAGTGACATAATTCTGAAAGTTCAAGAAGATTCAGCTAAAGAGTAAGGGCTTGTTTACACCAAGAAATTCACTGTTATAATTAGGCAGCATAATTATACAGCATAATTGTAATTATCCTGGAATTATTCTGAAGGAAGAGTGTCCACATGGGGAGTTATGCTGATATAAAGATACTACTGAATTTCCCTGTGTAGACAAGCCTCAGCAAAAGAAAGGATTGTTTTTGTGTAAAGCATCTGTGTGATACTGTTACTCGTACCACAGTGCAATACAAAACAGGGAATGTAAATTACAGTTATAGCTTTTAGTTGATTTAATCTATCTAGTTCAAGACTCATCCCCAGAGAGGGACCCCCTACCAGCATTGGCTTGTGTGAGCATGTTCCCATTTCATATGAAGAGTCTTTGCACTTTTCAGTCCCCTGATTCCCCTGGGACTGTGTCCTGCTCTTTAGTTTAGCTCAGCTAAATAGCTTGCATGACAATAGCTCACTCTCTGCCTCAACGGCACTGTCATCCACAGCTGTAAGGCACTTGTCATGAAGATGATTTACTTTAGCCTATTGCTGGTCTGTCAGTGTCTAATAGGGTTTGTTTTTTCATACTTCTTTAGATTTTAGTTAACAAGCTTTAAGCTTCCTCTGGGAAACTGTATCATATGCCTAGGCCTGTCTATGCAAAATGTTGTTCTGTGTTAATGGTACCAGAAAAAACTGAAGTGATACATGTCCCTCAGTTATAGATGCTCATATATAACAACATTTATAAACCATTTGCATGATTTTGTTCTCTGTAGCCATCTCATTGGACTAGAAAACAAGGTTAAATATGTGTGCCCTCAGTGAACAAAATCCATCACTTCCATGCTCCTACACAAGCAATGGTGCAGTGGCTTAAGAAGGAATAATGAGGCTTCAGGATAATCGAAATGTCCTTCTTACAGTGTATTTACAAGTAGATTTATTCCTATGATTTGTTTAAGATTTCAAACTGAGCTGTCCAAAAGAGTTTAAATATTTGAAGGAAGGTTCAGAAAGCAAACAGTATGGCAAGGAATCACTGTGATAATTAGTTTGAATAATAACATTGCTACTCTTGCCTAGCATTTTTTACAGTCTTTTCAATAGGAAGATATTGTCATAATCTTCATTTTATAGGTGACAGGCGAAGAGAAGTGGTTTACCCAAAGTCCCATGTCACCTCCCAGCTGGGAGGAGCAAACTGGTGTGCTGAGCTCTTGAACAGATACTGCTGAGAGGCCATGCACCAAGGACAAGTTTGTAATGCGATATATTTTAAATACTTTAAGGGCCTGTGCGGTTACGTGTAGAGGAGAAGCCACTTTCACTGCTGAAAGAGGTTGGAAATATATAGCTTAATTGAAAGAGAGCATTTTAAAATGCAGCTGACTGTGGGATGGATGAGATAGATCATTTCAGAACTGTGCTTTTCTACGGCTAAGCATTTTGCTGTTCTTTGTTAATACATAGAGTTTTGCAAACCTGAGTGCTCTGCTTGCATGTTGCTTGTTCCTTACTCCTTTATTTAAAATTACACCTACCTCTCATTCATTTTTGTGCATCCAAAATAAAGAATTACTTTTCTGTCTTTAACTTGTCACTGTGCTTCCTTCTTTCTTTTTCAATTGTACCAATTTTAAATTAAGAAAACACATCAAATATAATATAATTTAACTGCCTGTGAACTCTTCCCTCACAAAACTCATATCCAAATTATCATCTTCAATATGGGGGTATGACCCTGGTAGGATTTTTCTCTTTCTTAGTTCCTATATCCTATTTTTTGACATCTTTTGTTTCATTTCTAGGTCACATTCTTCCTCTCCCAACTTGGGCACTTCAGGTTAGATTCACAAAATGACATCTGGAAAGCACTGTGGCATCAGTGTGATCCCACAGCCCCAGGTTGTGCCTTCGTGCCACGAACAACCCCTGGAGAGCTGGCTGTGAATGTGGTTCAAAAAGGCTAGTGGGCTGATCTGTTGAATATAGCACTGGGTAAAATCTCAGGAGATGGCTACACTCCCTGCTGCACCTTTGGAGATCACAGTACTTAGCTCTTCTGCATGGGATTTGCTGAGAGCTGTGTCCCCAGACAGATGGAATGAAAGGCGTGGGAAAGGTTTTGTCTTTGTCTAGTGCTCCAGTGAGCACAATGCTCCCTTAGGATGCAGGAGGGCCAGATTTGTCTTTGTTTCTTCCTTAAGAAGACCTGAGTCAATCTCTTTCCCCTCTCAGAACAGGGTCATCAGCACCAGGAGCTAGTAGGATACCTCCTCAGATGAGGCTTATAACCTTATTGCTGTCCTCCTAAGAAAACTCCTTAATCACCTGGGTATTAGAAACTAGTTTAGATGCCTCTGAAAAGCACATCTCCAGGATGAGGCATCTCCCAGATTAAGTGGCAGCTGAGTGGGATTTAGAATTAGCTTTGTGTGGACAGTTAGACAGTTTTACAGGTTCATCCCTTTCTTTCTTTAAAAATGCTTGCCTTGTCTTTAATTCTAGCTCCATCGTTTATATGTGGGTTCACCAATTACTAGCCCATGGTGCAGAATTCTCATTTTTCTGAACCACTATTATGAATATACTTTTTTTTAAAGACATCATGACTTAGTCATCATGCAGAGTTAAGGCCAATATTGATTAATTCACCCTAGCACACACCTTCCAGAATTTCAACAAAGAAAATGAAAGTTGGTCTTTAAACAGGGCAGGCAGTTTGAACTATAAGCTCCTCTAAACATCATGGCTCAGCTAGTTTAGCGCCTTTTATGCTGCTGCCTTCTCTACACTCAGAATAAAAAGGAGGTTCTACCAGTCATCATATTCTAGCAATATACCTGGTGTAGACAAAACTGAACTTAAGGTTTCTGTTAAATATTCTTCCTTTGAAGACAAGGTTGCATTGTCAGTCTTTGACATACATGCCCCGATCCCCCTCCCATCCCCCCATACAGAAACGGGACCAGTTTATTCTCCTGGAAAATAACAAATTCACAGTCTTAGGTGAGATTCAGATATTTGATATTTTGGAACACTTCCTTAAATTACACTTTCCAGTACCTAAAAAGTACAAATATTGGAAATAATCTCTTATCTGCTGGAATGCTATGGCAATATGGTATGAAAAAAAGATTTTAAAATATTGCTGCCCGACATTACTAGTAATAGATTTTGCTGTGGGGAAAAAGTTGTCGAGTTAAATCTTCTGTCCTAATTGTTAATTATTGTTGTCTTTGTCTCAAAGAAATTCTGTTATGAGACTAGGCAGCTTTATTCAGTTAAAATGTTCCAGGAAAATTCGACACCAATCATATTTAAAAATAAATGTTCAGTAGCACAAAGAAGAAATATACAGTAGCGTACCTATTACATGTTTGCTCTTCTTGATCTCCAAACAATTTTTATGCTTGTATCCTCTGTCTTTTAGAAGTGAATACTGTGTTGATGGAAGTTGTTCATTTGACTGTCCTAGGGAATGAACTCTGCTTCAGTGGGTGAGTTAGTAATGCACGCCTTCTGCATGTGAAGAAATCATTATTTATAAAGCCTTGCAAATGCAATCTGGTATTTATTTGGTGAGAAGACTTAGTTGCAAACTGGTTGTAATCTTGACCTTGATAAAATAAGATATAAGTTTATGCAGCGGTGATCTCCTGCTCTCTTAGGGGAGCTTTACCAGCTCTTAAAAATTGAAATTTGTCTCAGTCTGAAATTTTACTCACAAGCCCTAAGTGTGCATCCACTTGATGAAAGGCTTGTAGAAAGAAAATCTTCCTGTTTAAGGCTAGCTCCCACTCATACAACCATATACAGTGTGTTTTGATTAAATCATAGCTCTCTACACTAGCAATAGTATAAATCAAAAGTCACACACAAGAATTAGCTATGGTAGTTTACCACCTTGTCATGTGTCAATGTAACCATGCTAACTGGTAGTAAAATTTAAGCACATGCTCTGAGTCTGCTCTTCTGTGAAGTAATATATTCCTTAGCTCAAGCCTGATGAAACTGAGCTAATCACGTATACCGTTGCTCAAATAATGAGAAGTAATTTGTTGTGCAGCCATAATGTCATTGTGTATCTGTGCCTTGATTATCATCTTGTATCCTCCATGAGTCTTAGAAGTGCTGGTATCAGTTAGAGATAGGTCTAGTGTCTGGAAGCTATGTAGGCTTTTATAGGCCTGTATGGTCAGAAAGTTTGAAACCACCAAGACACTTAATTTAGCTCACTCTCAGCTATCAGACAATAATGCTCTCAGTCCTCAATAATCTGAGCTAGACTGTAATCTCTGTGGTAGGGATTGTCATTTACTTGGTTAGTATAATATAACAGTATAGCAATCAGCCCATTTAGATAGTGACATTGTATAAACATAATTTCTGTTTTATTGTAAGCAAATTTGCTCACTGTAATGCCACTGATCTCCTCAAGCATGCAGAATCTTTTATCAGTCCATGTCACTAGATATTTGTGCTGTAGGTCATGATGAAACATGTTTATATACATGGATCATATAGAAAATTCTACATTTCAAGCACCTTTGTATGAAGAATATTTGTCTGAATTGTGTTTAATGTCTGTCCTTTTTTCCCTCTCAACATCAGCCCAAAACCACATGACTCCAATTAGTTCCTATCTCAAACAGTTTATTGGCAGCAATTTGTTCTCAGTATTGCCAAAATACATAAAACTGTTGCAAGTCCCATGATTTTTCATGGTTTTCTTTACAATTCAAAATTCAGATGAATACCTTAACATTACAATGAGATGAAAAGAAGTGAAAATTACCTTTCAACTCAGAAAAACAAAACAAACCAAAGCTTGGATCTAATTAACCTTGGCAAGAAAAGAAATCACTGAGAATGAAAATCTCTTCAACTCAAAGAGGCCAAAACAAAGCCCTCTGAAGTCCTAACAAAACTCTTGAAATATGATTTAACTGGTACATCAGTGCTACTCAGGTTTATGTTGATGCTCTGTTTGGAGATTAATTTTACCCTCAAAAAGGATGCTTCCTGCCAAATACATGCAGTCTGTATTATTTACATCTTTAAGTCCAGAAAATCCTGTAAGTTCTCTGCTTGGTCCCCTGTATATCAAAGAATTAGGTTAAGGCAAACATTGCAGGGAGTGAGTATTTTCTCATGCCTGGGTATTTACTGACAGTTTAAGTTCCAAAATTTATGTAGGGCAAAGATTTCTGGGGCTCTGTGTTCATTCTTCACTGTCACCACTGTAAAATTCTTAGATTTGAATAAAGTTAGCACAAAGTTGCATTATAGTCAGCTTTACCCCAAGGGGGCTAATAAACAAGACAATATAAGCAACTCTCCAGAGAAGAGTAGATGTCTTTAAATTGTATCCCAGAGATGTAGTCTGACAGCTTGCATCAGAAATAAGAATCAAAATTAGGGACAGGATTTTAAACATCCCCTTTAGGCAAGCAGAGCATCAGATTTCATCTCAGTTTTAACACAGGTAGAATCTGTTCCAACTATGAGAAGAACGGCCATTTGTAAACATTTTAATTTCACTTCTTTGGTGACTGAATGACTTTGGAGAATGAGCAAATAAAAACAAGGGGAACAAATCAGATGATATTTGAAATAACATTACTAGCTCCCTATCTTCTGAAAATATAAGGACAAAATGCTGTATAGGTAGTATCAGCGTACATACAAAAGAGGATAGAAGCATTTTCCTGTGGCCCAGACAGTTTAATGAATCAGATACAGTGCTGCAATCAGAACTGTGGTATCTGCAGACAAAATCTGTATGGAAGATGACAGAGCAATACGTCACAGAGATCTTGAAGACTGAGACCCCCAAGCAGTAGCCTCTTGCTGAAAACTATGGCAGCTTCACTAGCTTCAATATCATTTTTGCATACATGACTACTTTGCTAAATCAAACCACTGGATGAGTGTCTTTCTTCACTCTATTTGTCAGCATCACTCCAGCTGTAAGAAATTGAAGCTTCCCTGAATACTTAAGCCAAGCCTCAAATCATGTCTCAAAAATAAAGAAATCGGTATAGTGTTAGAGCTTTGACCTTTGGCCATCATTACTTCTATCATGGTTGTTTCTGCTTTGCACCATGCCTTCAGAACCATGTATTTCAATGTTGGAGTCCTTAGTACTTCTGTAATAGATGGGAAGAGTAGGATGAGATGATCATATTCTGTTTTGATTCAGGATTGCTAAAAGCTGGACAGACATCATAGAATAACTGCAGAATCATGATTGTTCTACATAATAATTCCAGATAAAGGCTTCAAGGTCATCTAGCAAGAGCAATATAAAACATAATATTACAATTATAATTGAACAAGTATAATTATTGAAGGCATCCTGCTAGACCTGATGTCTTTTTCTTTTAAAAACATGAAGTATTCATGAAAATGGAAGAACTCTAGTATCAAAAGTGTGAAAACTGTGTCTGGACATTGATTACAACAGTGGGTTGGCCTAACCAGTTAGATCCATCTCATCTCATAGAGACTAGATAAATGCATGAGAAACCCGTTACACTGATCAGGAAGAAGGATATTTTTTTTCAAGATAAAGTGAAATACAGCAAAGTTGGGCTTAAGGATGATAGCACTGTCTATCCATTGACTGGGGGAAAGCTGCATGTGTGGTTCTTGAGGTAAAATTACATGAGATGAGCTGCTCTAAATCTCACTGGAAAAGTCTTTCATGAACGTCTTCCTATTCAATTCATTAACCCCATTTCACAAATCATCTCTACTGGAATGGGGAGATCCCATCCCTTCCACTCCCAGGCTTCTGACTTGCTTCTGTTTTGGCTGTGACACTAGATCGTCTTTTCAGCCAATGTGATTTACCAACCCAGAAGAAAATAATAATTTATCTTTTTGGATTATTATTTTTTTTTTTGCCACCCTAGAGAGCTGGTTTACGTAGGAGTCTGACAAACATCAGAGATTGGGTGCTGGAATGGGAATATATGGATGAAGTGTCAGGACTTTCCCCTTTCAGCCACAAGGGGCTGTAAAATTTACTTGTTCATATTCCTTAACATAATACTTTCTAGCAAGTGAAAGTCCAAAGAGAAATTCATGACTGTTGAAATGTCACATGAACTCAACTAATTTGTATACGTTGCATGTGGGATGTTTTTAGTGAAACTGATTTTGGAAAGAGGTGTTCTATTTTATTTTCAAGATCCCTTTGGATTTCTGCTACAGTGCCTTTCTACAGAGAGTTACCAAAATAAGGGATTCAGCGCTAGCCTTACATGTTTTACGTAATTATCATTTATATTTTCTAAAGTGGCCTTTGAGGGGAAAAGAATAACTATGAAAGCCGTTCTAGACGGGAAAATATACAAATATTCTCCAAGTCAGCAAAAAACACTTGCAAACGCTCAATGAAGTGTTATTCTGCAGGGACATCTACAATTTTATAGGATGCAATTTCACAGTTCAGGCTTGCTTTGCCATGTGTGGAGAGTAGGCTGATTGCATCAGGTGGTGGAGCATTATCAAGTCATTGTTAACTCATTGCCACAGAGGACATGAATGGCTTTCCCCACAGCAGTCATTAACAGTGACAGAGTCAACTGGTTTGGCCAGGCTGATATTGGTAGAAGGAATGTCCTCCAAGCTGGAATGTGAAATGGATGGAATGAAAAATATAGATTTTTTTTTCTAAATAATATCCTAGGATTTTTGTAGCAATTATATTCATTATAGTTTAACAATGATGACTTTCTCCTGTCCTCTCCAGTTGCAAGACAACATTTGCCATCTTACCACTCAAAATACTTCACTGTTTCTCCTCAGAGTGTTTTTTAACATCCATCTTTACCCCCATCCTAAATATCTATTGGTAGGTCACTGATAAACTTTGACTTTTTTGTTAACTACTCGTTCCAGTAATTTTTATATTTTGAATCTGTTCTTGGCAAGATCTTAATTTTATTCTATATTTGCACAATAACTTACATCTATTTTGGTCCATAAATCTGATGAGCTGCACTAATGCAAATAATAAATATGTATATTAGTAAGCTAGCTGTATGGCCTGAAAGTTTATCTTTCTATTATACAAATACAGATATTGACATATAGACCTACTGTAATGAATCATCACATTTTGACAAACTGGATAGAATAATGTATAGCAGCAGAATCTTAGGAGATGAACATAATGTGCTGAAACAACAAGTCATTCTACTAACCTTCTACCTGACAAGAATTAATGAAAGGCAGATACCAGAAAAGATTGTTTGTCAAAACCAATATGGAAGCCATCCTTTAAATTTATCATGGAAGTGGGATGCTACATTTTTTACAAGAATATCTGAGCATACTTGAGGTATTGTTTCTTTGTGTTATCCACTTGTGCTCTCTGTTTTCCTCTCTGTAGCCCAGCAACATGCCTAACATATATATTTCACATAATCTTGTAAATGTAACCAAAAGCTAC